ACCATACCTCCTGCTCCTCTGCACACAGGCCACACCATACCTCCTGCTCCTCTGCACACAGGCCACACCATACCTCCTGCTCCTCTGCACACAGGACCTGCACACAGGCCACCTGCCTGGTCCTGTTTGTTGCTGGCTTCTCACTTGCCTCTTCATCAGCCTCTTTCCCTCATCGCTGTGTAACCTGCACCTAGTACAAGAGCCAGCCCCAGCAGGTTTCAAAGAAAATGGAAGAAGAGTACACCTCTCTCTTTCCCCAACTCTTATGCAACCAGCAAGGAATGAATGTTAGATGAAAATGCAGAGACTGGCAGGGACAGTGTTTCTTCTTAGTCTGCTTGACACAGCGGCTACTGTCTTGGAATGCTAAACGGAGCCCAGCTAAACTCCATCTAGTGTTTACTGGAAGTACCTGAGGCAACATCTTGGAAAACGCTGGGCTGGCGTCTGCCTTCTGAGGTGCTGGTAAGACAGGAGGGTTTGCTGGCTTCAATCCAGGGACTTCTGGCATCATCTTCAGCTCTTCTGTGGGCTTGCCACTCAGAGCTGCAGGAGAGAGTCCTGTTTTTCAACTATCCCCCAAGGACAGAGACTTAAATTGCTCAGCAAGAAATGTCTAGACAGGTGTTATTTGTTTCAGGAGAAGAGTGAGACCTCCAAGAAGTCACTCAATTTGAGAACAGCCACAGGAAATAAAATCTTTTTCAAAGCAATTGACAGTGTGTATCCTTATGCACAGCACAAAACCCCAACACACTTTACCTTAATAGCACAACATGGTGGCAAACAGGCAATGTATTTGAGCAATCTCCAGAAGCTCTGCAGCCAGGAGCAACAATCTTAAGAGAAGCTCAAAAGTGATTCTCCACTGCCTTACAGAAATCTGCTGGTCTTTCCAAACACTCAGTAACAAGTGCTAGGAAACTAATGCAATTATCAAGACTGAATGACCAGGAGACAGAGGGTGGAGACAGCAGTGTTGACAGCAGATTCCTAGAGAGCAGCCAGCCAGCATATGGACATCTGTGCTCCAAACAACTGATCACAGCTGGCTCCACTTCTCTCCTCTGCATTTCTTGCAAATATGCTGCTACATATACCTGCTGGAGCTGTGTACTGCAAGGTTGTATCTGCCCTCTGACAAGTATCCTCTAGCACCCCTGGTGCTTCTGATACCTTTCCACTGGTCTGCCATATGGATGTAGGACAGGAATCCACAGAGAATCAGAAAGGCCAAGAGAAAGATAATCATGTTCTGCTGTAATCTCGACAGCTGCTTCCATTTCTAAGGAAGGGACAAAGAATGACATTTCTTAGTGAAGAGCGACAATTGAGAATCTCCTCCACTGTCACGGATTCAGTGAGCAATTCAGAAAGACTCAGTGGCCAGTCGACGTTGTTTCCAGGGCAGAGAAGTTCCCCATCAGCAAGGTTTACATTACATGTGATGTAACACATGTAACACGTGTGCAATGAGAATAACAACGACAAGGACACTCGGATCCAGTTGCATGGGCACTGGTGAAAGACTTCTATAATCGATGCGGTGCATCGATGCCTCTCCGGCCAAGATCACCGTGAACGCCCCAGCAGGAAACAGAAGGGCGCAGGACCCGTTCCCGTCCCGGGGGAAGCGACACCATCTGGAAGCAGGGTGACCCGCCGCGGACCGGCCTGCGGCCAGGCCAGAAGGACCCCAGGCCCAGCGCCGACGGCCCGCCGCCCTGCAGGCGGTCGAGCGCCGCGCAACCCGCCGACGGCCCGCCCCGACTCACTCTCCAACATGAGCGCCGCCGCCGGCTCTTGCTGTTGTCGTAGCTCTCGCCGACGCTCAGGGTCACCGAGATGAAGTCCCGGTGAGGCGCCGACGCCGGCGGCGGGTACATGGCGACCGCGCCGGCCCGCAAGCTCCCGTTCGCCGGCGGTGTCAGGAAGCCCGAGTCCGAGAGGCAAAATAAACCGCCATAGCGGAGCCGTCCGCACCCCGCCCATCCTCCTGTTCCAAAGTGCGCACGCGCCGCGCCTTCCGCCGGCCATTCCGCATGCGTCTTACCCAGCTAGTCCCACTGCGCGCGCGCGCCCCTCGCGGCTCCCAGCGGGCCCTAGCCCTCGTACGGCGCCTGCGTGAGGTTGCCCGCGCCTGCGCTGTAGCCTCAAGTCACTGCGGTTGCGCCGGCCCTCGTCGGTGAGTCTCTGTCTGCGGCTCCAGGACTTGATCCGGGCTTCCGTTGCTGCCGTCGGCAAGCAGCCAGGCCCGAGACGGGGAGCCGAGTCACCAGGTCATGGCGGAGCGCCCGGCAGGGCCCTGCACGATCTGGCAGCCGTGGAACCCGAGCACCCTGCCGCGCGTCCTCCCGCCCAGTCCGCCTCGCGCGCCTCCTGCCCGGCGCTGGGCCGGGTGGCGTCTGCGCTGGGGACCCTCCCTTCCCGGGGCCATCTTCTAGTTTCCGCTGGTCTCTTCCTGAAGTAGGATAGAAGGCGTAAAAGGAACAGGTGAAAAGGAGAGACGGAGGAAGGACAAGGAAAGATTTTGGCGTAAAGTTCTGCATACTTGCTGGGCCTGTCATCCTGCCTCTCCGGAGGCTGAGGCAGGAGGACCGCGAGGAAGAGCCAGCCTCGGCAACTTAGGGACCCTGTCTCGAAATCAAACTTGAAAGCCCTGGGAATGTGGCTCAGTAGTTAAGCCACCCTGGGTCCAATCCCTGGTACCAAAACGGTTTGGGATACTCTTCCAGGCCTGTCCCTTCCAAGTCAGTGGGAAGTCACTCGTGGTAATCACCTTGTCAGTGTTCTTCGGCGCGCCGGTAAATAGGTTCTGCCAAGAGATGTCACTTTCAGAAAGCTATAGTCTATGGGAGGTCGCACGTTTGCTATGAAGTAGATGGTGGAGACCACATCCCTACACACCTCTCACACCCGCTTTTCACCAGGTTTGCTCTAAAAGAGCTGGATTCCCAAAACACTCTCTCAGTGCGTTCCCCCTGGAATGTGTATTTGTTTCCTAAATAGATCCTCGTCTGTGTCTCTGGTGCCTGTGGACGTGGATCCTGTGGGAAGTGTCTGGTGTGAACTCCTGTCCTTAGAGTTCTCCCTCTGCTCCCTTTACTCCCCCCGCCCCGTAGTGCTGGGGACTGAACCCAGGGCCTTGAGCCTGCCAGGCAAGCCCTCCACCAACTGAGCTGTGTCCCCAGCCTCGCTCCCTTTACTTTCTTTCTTTTTTTAAAATATTTTTTTTTTTAGTTGTCAATGGGCTTTATTTTGTTTGTTTATATGCGGTGCTGAGGATGGAACCCAGGGCCTCTCCCATACCAGGCAAACGGCCCCTGAGCCCCTACCCAGCCCCCCTTTACTTTAAAGGCTGCCCAGAAGAAGCTCTATGTACTGCACTGGTCATGGCTCCCTTTTTTTGTGATGGGAAATCCCTGAACTGTAGATTCAAGTGGCAGTTAGGTAAGGTTGATGCCATCCTTGGGACCTGATAGGACTGTTTGAACTCTAAAACTGAAAGGCTCAGTGGTCTTTGGCACTCTTCCCTGGTTTCTTCCCTCTTATTCACCTGTTGGGTTTCTCAGCTCTCTGTCCTTGGAAGGCCTGCTATCTCAGTCCAACTGGAATGTAAAATTTGTGTCACTTCTCAGATCCTTTTGAGACCAAAGGAAAAAGTCACTTTTAATCCTAGGTGCTGTAAGACTTAAATAGGTGACATTTCTCCCTCCCTCTCTCTCTCCCACTTTTCCTCAGCCAAAGCCCTTTGTTCCCCTTAAAAGATGTGTTTGTTCATGAAACGCCTTTGGCCTGACACGCCCTGCTCCTGGTCACAGGGAAGTCTGCTCCTCCAGAAGGTGAATATGAGGGATTGGACTGCCTGTTTCCAGGACTGCCTAGATTCTTCAGAACAGGGTTCAGCCAAGATCCTGTGGGGGTATGACTTTTGGGGTGATAACAAGGGGAGTGAACCCCGATATTCACCACATGCAAGCCCAACTTTCACTGCCAGTCTCTTTAGGCTTCTGCTGTGATAGTTCTGAAGGTGGATTCTCATGGTACTCTTGAGGTACTTCTGTGATACGCACAATCATGTGTTTCATGCTCCAATTAAACTGGTCTGTCCCGAGCTGCTACTGGTAATGAGGAAGCATTCTCAAACCCTGCTTTGCTAAATCATGCTGATAGTCATGTGAATTTTCACCTTCTCTTTGCACAATATTTGCCCAAGTTTTGCTTGTTTGTTTTTGGTACTGAGGTTTGAACCCAGGGACACTTAACCATGCTTAAGCCACATCTCCAGCCCTTTTTATGTTTCATTTTGAGATAGGGTCTCACTAATTTGCTGAGGCTGGCTTTGAAGTTGTGATCCTCCTGCCTCAGCCTCCCAAACTGATGAGATTACAGGCGTGTGCCACCACGCCTGATCCTGTTGCAGTTTTCATCCCTGATGTTTGTGTACCTGTGTGTATATATACACCACCCACACACACATGCATGCACACACACGTATTATATGTAAATATATATATTTCTAAAAGAAAATGTCCTCCTTGACCACCTTAGTCAAGACAGACCCACACCTTACTGGCAGCCCCACCTCAGGGAGCGCAGTGGCAGTACTGACGTGGTTTGTTTTGCATCAGACCTGGCCATGAAGAGGCATCTGCTGTAAGTCAGTTTTTACTGAATCTTACCTGACCACCCCATCCTGGAAAGCCTTTAGATATTCCTACGGGCTACAAGGTCTGTGTGTCGGCGTTGTTTTAAGGATCATAAGTTCTCACACAAAAGAATTACAAATTCAAGCACACCTGGATTATTTAAGATCTCAGGATATTCTCTCCGCCTGTGGTGTTTATTTATTTATTTTTAAAAATCAGGCATCGAATTGAACCCAGGAGTTGCTCAGCCACAGAGCACACACATCCCAGACTATTTTTTTTTTAGTTGTAAATGGACACAAGACCTTTATTTTGTTATTTTTATGTGTTGCCGAGGATTAAACCCAGGGCTTCACACATGCTAGGCAAGTGCTCTGCCACTGAGCCCCAGCTCCAGTCCCCAAGCCTGTTTTTTATTAGAGCTTTATAGTCACACGTAGCTGGATTCATCCCGATAAACTCGTACATGCATGGAATTCGATTCAGTTCCTGATCCCCCGCCTTTTCCCTCCCCTCTCCCATTCTCCTTCTTCTGCTGGACCTCCTTTTGCTATTTATTTATGGATGATTGGTTCTTCCACCCATGCATAAAGATCATAACAGGGTTTTGTAAGAATTCACTTTGCATTGCCTGCTCTTTCCCATACCTGTAATCTAGATCTCCTACATTACTGACCTCTGATCTTCCCTTTATGTAATCCAGTCCTGTAACAGGGATTGAACCCAAGGCTCAACCACTGAGCCACATCCCCAGCCCTTTTTATTTTTATTTTATTTTGAGATAGGGTCTCACTAGGTTGCTTACAGCCTCGCTAAATTGCTGAGGCCGACTTCAAACCTGTGATCCTCCTACCTCAGCCCTCCTGAGCTGCTGGGATTATAGCATGCACCACCATGCCCAGCTCTCCTTCCTTTAAAAATTCTTTTTAAATATTTATTTTTTAGTTGTAATTGAACACAGTATCTCTATTTTATTTATTTATGTGGTGCTGAGGATCGAACCCAGGGCCTCTCATGTGCGAGGTGAGTGTTCTACCGAAGAGCCACAACCCCAGCCCTAAAAAAATTTTTAAGTCAATGTCTCACTAAGTTGCTTAAGGCCTCTTTAAATTGCCAAGGCTGGCTTTGAACTGGGATCCTCCTGCTTCAGCATCCTGAGCTGCTGGGACTGCAGGTGCCTGTCAGTAACTTTCAAACCCCCAGTGTCACCTGGAACCAAATTTCCACTTTGATGGTTTCAATGTCTGCCAGTAGGTGGCAGCAGTGAGGCAGGTTACTATTATCTAATTCTGCTTTAAAGGTTTAAGCCTTTTGGATCCTGGAATATGGGATAGACAAAAATTGTCTGGTCCCCAAACCCAGTTTGTGGACATAAGTTATCCTTTCCTTTTTCCTGTATCTTTTCAGAAAAAAAATGCAAGGAAAAAAACTCTTGTAGTGTGCAAATTACAAGATTATGGGTAATTCAGCCTCTGTCGCTGAGAATTTACCCCATGGAGCATAGTAAGTAATGGTATAATTTTAAGGCAGAGGGCTTAAGGAGTTGATTTCCTTCTGTGGTTCAGCTTTGCCTTCATATGTGTTAGGCAGTGGAGAAATATGGCCTAAAAATGGGACTCAGATTTAACACATCAACTTGATTCATTCTGTAAAGGGAAACAAAAATGGACAGAGATCCCACATATTCAAGCCTTTATGACCCTGTATCAAAATCTGAAATCACAGGGCTTGTAAGGTGTCATTTTCAGACCATGGAGGATTCATTTTTAGGTGCTCCCAACAGCTTCCTCGAGCACCCATTGCTCAGAATGCAGGACCAGCAGCATCCCAGAGCCTTAGTTTGAAAGCCCTGGACAAAATTCTGAGCCTCCCTCTCCCTCTTCTCCACCCCTTCCCCTCCCACTATCTGCTCCTCAGTCTTGTTACCAGGAACTAGCCCTGCAGGGCAGTGAGGCCCCTCCTGACCCAGCTTCTAAGCCTGCCAACATGGCCTTCTCCTGGAGGTGCTGGGTGGGACATGACCCTTTTCCATGACTGACTGGCACAGGTGCTTTCTGGAGGACCCTGATGGATTCCTGGAGGAGCTCCAGGCCCTGACGTTGTGCGTCATCCATGGGGGCGGACATTCCAGTCATCTTTCCACCTGCTCCCTCCTGAGGGAAAGACCCATGAATGGACAGCAGCAAGGCAAGTGAGCAGCCTGTGGGAAAGGATGCTGTCCCCAGCCAGAGTCCAGAGTCCACTGGGTTGTCAGAAACAGAGTGGGGGCAGGAAACTAGGGACCAGCCTGAGTGGACCACGTAGTCATGAGGAGGTCAGGGGGACACTGAGACAAGGTGGAGATCCTGCTC